TAAAAAAGATTAATATAATAAATAAAGTAATTAAAATAATCAAAATAAAAATAGCAAAATAATCAAATAATCAAAATTGTTAAATAGCTAAAATAGAAAATATTTTATAATAATTAAAATAATAATAATTTTAATAATTAAATACCAAAATAACTAAATTATCAAAATTGGTAGTAATTAATTAAAAAAATAATTAAAATAATTAAAATTCTAATATAAAAATAAAAAATTATATACTTTATTTTAGAATTTTGATCTAAAAAAAAAAAATTATAAAATTAATAATTATATTAAAAAAAAATAATAATCATAAAGATATTGAATTTAGTAAAAAAAAAGAATTTTAAAAAAAATCTAAAATATTTACAAATAATTGTTAATTATAAAATTATATTATTAAAAAAAAATATTATTAATATATTTATTTATTAAAAAATAATTATATTTCAAAAAAAACATGTATTATTTTATTTTTTGAAATTTAATTTCAGATATCCCAATATCATAAATATCATACAAACTTATGATCGAAATTCAAAATACATCTGAAGTTTAATTTCAGATGTCTCAATTTCAGACAGCCTCATGACTGAAATTCAGATTCTATCTGAAGTTCAATTTCAGATGTCTCAATTTCAGATGGCCTCGTAACTGAAATTCAGATTCTATCTGAAGTTCAATTTCAGATGTCTCAATTTCAGACGCCCAAAAAGTATCTGAATTCCAACTTCAGACGAAAATCAATTTCAGTCACAACATAGCAGTCGATTAATCGTTTAAATCGATTTTTGCCGGCTCATATTAATGAATATTTATAAGGAACTATTCAGGGCACCTCTGCCTAAATAGGCATAAAAAATATCTATATATATTTTGAGTTACAGCTTGACGAGTACAGTTTGGTTTACATGATAGAAAATCTTAGAAGATCTAGCAGTAATTAAATTTTTTAGTGTTATACTATGAGAAAGGTCTTTAATTTATTTAAATTACTGGTCACGTCATACGTGGGTTGGGTAAGTGAATATTATATGTTTTTACAAAGTATTCTAGAAACATCATTATTAGGGTTCTTTTATTACTCCCCTCTCTTATTGTTCGAAAAAATCAAAATGTATTATAAATTCTAAACTTAAATAAAATTACAAAACAAAAGATCCTATAATTAAAAATATAAATAAATATAAATTATTATTTTTCGTTAATAAAATAGCACTTGAAGGAGTTTTTTGTTCGACGTTTTGTGTGATAGGTGATTCGGTTGGGGCATCATTTTTTGGGCTTTCGGTCGCTGAAGTTACAACCGTTGGAGTTTCAACCGCAGTATTATTTGTGGTCAAACTATATTCTTCAACGTAGGGTTTTGGATCATTTAAACAAACAGCTACGGGTTTAATATTAAATCCGGCACTTTGTAAAACCGGTACAACATATGGAGCTCTACCAGCGCTTGCTTGATATAAATCATGTTCTAACGATATATGTCCAGTTGTAGAAGGTGCGTTAGCCCATTGAGTAAAATTTCCTTCAATCCATTCTGCTTTAAAATTTTTATCTTCCCCTGTCAAATAATCATGTGTATCGTACTCCCACATAACAATTTTATAACCGAGTTGAGTTAAGATTCCTCTAACACGATCATCACAGTCTCCGTAAGGTGGTCGCATATATTTTGGTGTAAAACCAATGACTTGTTTTATCGCTTCTTCTGTCCATTTGATTTCGGCTATGATTTCCTCATTGGATTGTTGGGTAAGATGTGTATGGGACCAAGTGTGTACTCCAATTTGATGTCCTAATAAATTATATAATTAATATTTAATAAACACACACAAAAGTAAGTTGTTGATTCAAACTTACCAGCACTGAATGCTTTTAGCAAGGTTTGTGGATGTTCTATCACGCGTGAACCAATAACGAAAAATGTTAATTTAACATCTTTTGAAGCCAAATAATCTAATAAAGCATCTGTATATTCTCTGAGAAAAAAAAAAAGTTAAAAACAAAGTTAAATGCGCGTTTATGATCTTAATTAACTTACGTTGGCCCATCATCGAAGGAGAGACCCCAATCTATTACAAATAATCAAAAAAAAAAATGTTAAAAGGTGAAAATTTTTAAGCCAATCATATAAAGAAAAAAGGCAAACCTGTTTTACTGGGACAGACAACTATGTCGGAATTATTACGAGTGCATTCAGTACAACTCCATTTACAAAATTTATCATTTGCGGCATTTGCGGGACAATCATTTTCGCCTTTAGATAACGGAGCATTAGGAACTTTTGACATATCGACTAAAGAAGTCCAAGATTCATTAGTTGGTGGAGGTTTATCAACTTCTGGCCATTGTCCTTCTAATTGTGCATTAGTTGTAACGGTCAAAAGTGATAATGCGAGAAAACAAAGAGATATTTCGAAAATAAGTTTCATGCTTTTTTATAATAATAATTATTAAGGATGAATTTATAATTGAATACGAATAAATAAAGGAATAAACTTTGTGGTTGGGATTAAAACAATTTTGTAAGCTTTTTATAAGCTTTTCTCGAATTATAAAAATAAAATAATTGATATTAATAGTCATTGAAATTCAAATGGGAACGACCAGATTCCCAAAAGGTAATCCCAAATTTGGTCAGCTTATTTATTAATTGACATCTATATGCTAATTATAAAATGGGTTTGAACTAAGTAATCCCCTTATTAAAAATTAGATCGATTAACGAAAAACTTTTGTTTTAGGTAAATGTTAATCCGGAAAAGGATTTAACCGCAAGTCCGATCATCAAGACAATAAATTAAAAACCCTTTACATTATTATCCCTGAAAGTGGCTGTCAAATTCAATTCGACCGTATTTTTAAAAAAAAGATCTTGTCAAAAAAAAAAATTTTTCCTTTTTTTTTTCCCCTTATTCTCTTATAAAGGAATCATTTTGAAAAGTATCAATGTAAGGTATTTTTAAATCATCATAAATGACCAAACGTATTGCCAAGAAATTTCAAAAAAGATAACGTTTACTAATGTAAAATTTCTTATAAATTTTTATTTAATACCCCGATGTCAAAAGATTATTTATCAAGAAAGATGTGTTAAATTGGTGTTACATTCATGCCACCTTAATCTGTTGATTCCACATGTGAGTGACTTAGAAATATGCTAGCATTTCGGATATCCCAAATCGGAATGCATTTTGGATACCCAAATGTGCAACTTTCCCCAAATGAACATTTCGGATATACCAAAGACCACTTCGGATGACACAAATGACCACCACTTCAGATATCCCCAAATAAATTTCTTCGGATATCCCAATGATTACTTGGGATGATTCCTTAAGACATTTTGCTCCAAAGACCTTTTCGAATGATCCAAATGGCCAATGTCGGGCATCTTAATTAGAAATTTGAACATAACAAGTTATTTAAAATATCTTTAATTTCCTATTTATATGGTCATTTGGAACGGTTCGAAGAGGTCATTTATCCGAAATGGTAATTCATGATGGTCTGAAGCGGTCTTTTGGAACATTCGTGTGTTTTTTGGGACGGTCATTTGGAATATACGAAACGATCATTTGGGACATTGACTGATCATCTGGGATATTACCCGAAATGCTTATTTGGAATAAATGCACATTTGGCGAAACAATTTTCGAATTCTGATTTAGGATTCATTTTGCGCATTGGGCTACATCAATGATTTGACAATTCAGGTTCATACTATATTTTCCTTTCGGGATGATGAAGAATAGAATTGAAATCATATATTAGTCTTTCATTTTTAACGATTGCTAAGTAACGGAATTAGAGAAACCATTCAACCGGATATTTGGTTGTAAAAAAAAAACATTAAGTCTATCTGTGTACTCATCAAAAAATGTCACGAAATGACAAGAATTAAGAATTGGCAGCATGCATGATCATGCATTTGGGCCTGCAACAATCTTAATGCGGGCCGACGTGACATTTTTTTGATTGGTACGCAGACTTTAAATAAATGAATGATCGTAATACCGTGATTTTAATTAAAGCGAAATTTTTTAATCGAGTTTTTTTTTACGTTTGTTGGATAATGATTACGAGCGTAAAGAAATTAATTTCTATAAGATGCCTAGAAATTCTTGGAATGATGTTCAGTAATCGTTGCTTATGAAGCTTTCTTCACGAAAATATCACAAAAAAATTTTATATACGGATGTTAATGCCGTCAGTAATATGAAGTGTGTAGACCACATAGACCACATATTATTTACTTGGTTATAAAAAACATAGAAAGATATGATTCATTTTTTTTAAAAAAATAAATTTATTAAGCAAATAAGAAAACTGATGTTCAAATGAAATTTACATCATATTATAACAGCAATTAGTAGTACCAGCCGTTGGAGTCAGAGTCGACGGCTGAGTCGACTCTGCAAAAATCATTTAGAGTCGACTTCGGAATTTTCAATGACTGAGTCGCTGTTCCAAATTTGATATAAGGTCAGAATATTGTGAAATTCTTAATTAAATAAAACCTTCAAATTTTTAGTCAAATGGGATTCTTGTCAACATTATTATGATGAAACTTATAATTATCTATTTTTTTTGCAACATTAATTAAATTTTAAAAATTTTTGATAAATATTAAGATATTAAATACAATTATGGTCGCTAATTTCAAATGAGAGTCTCGACTCAGTCGACGGCTGAGTCGACTGAAAAGTCTCTAACGGCTGACTGAGTCGACTCCAGAATTTGTCCCGACTGGTACTACTAACAGCAATCTTAAGAAGTATAAACAATTTTTTATTTTTTATTTTCATTATTTTGCATATGCATTATATTAATATAGTTCCCGATTAAGAATCATTATTTGTTGTGGGGAGAAAATATGTAAAATTTTGTTGATTTTAATACTCGAAAATACCATTCTCCATTGGATGGACAGTATCATCTTCAAATTTTGCATGCAGCAAATTTCATTAATTTTTTGAATTTTTTTTTTTTTTTTTAATATATAGTATAAAATATGACTAGGTTCTTCATAATAATATTCAATCGTTAAATATTTTATTAAATTAATATAATAGTTAGAAAAGAAGTTTGTTCACATCAAAGGTTTTCAGACGATGAAAATAAATAATTGCACATATTCTAGAAAATATTAGGTATATATGGCTCCAGAAAAATTATTATATGATAAAAATAATAATAAAAAGGATAATAATTGAGAAATTTTAATTGTTGCATTATTGTGGAATTGCAGAAATAAAGAAAATGCCCATTCAATTCTTGATAAATCAGAAATAATTAATTATACGAAAAAGAAATTATGAAACACTTTCACAAGGATATATAGTAAGATAATGTTGCAATTGGTTAAAAATTTTACATTGTTTAATTATAAATAGCCCTTTCATATTTATTGTGACTATATATTTCTTTTTTTTTTATAATGGAATACGAACGAACATTATTGAAGCTCTAATAAATCCATTATTTGTCTCAAAATTATAAATTGAAGGTACAATGTTCAGATCCACCCCGTACATAAAGAGGGTCTGGTTTATTTATTTATTTTGAATATGGCATTAAAATGTTATTTGTTTGTTAAAACAACGGGGATATAGATTAAATTAAAGAAACCATTTAAATTATTAAAGATTTATGTTACACGAATTAATTCTAATCGTTTAGGGAAAATTATCGGTTTCAATAATTAATTTTCACTATCGGATATTCTATATTATATTTACTTTGCTAATAAATAATGAATGTTATATTACAAATAAAATTATAGTAATTCATTGCGCAATAAAAATTTAGGGATTTTGAACTAAAGAATCAGGATTGATAATTTCTAATATTGGCAATGTTTCAAACTCGGCTGATATTCGTATCTAAACTATTTAAACCCGAATGACCATCCTCAAAAGTCACATTATTAACTTTATTATCCTTTGTAACATTTTTTTTATAAGGGTCCCAGCCTTCATTTATAATTAATTGAACCACATTACCGGTCGCTCCTATTGCATGTCCTATTAAAAAATAAAAATAATTAATTAAAGATGGACCATGTCTTTCGCATTAGAAGTTTAAGTTTACCTACCGCAACCTTTTATGATATAGATCCAAGGGTGCTCAACCTATAAATAATAAACATATGATCCATTAAATTTTTTTTTCTTTATAAAAAAATTAATTAAATAAAAGTTAATTTATTTCTAAAACTTACACCGAACAATCTTCCCAAATTCTGAGCTTGTATAAAAACCCATTGAAGAACAAATATGATCATGTAACTGATGACCTTATTAGTAGCCTTCTTCTCAAACTCTCCGTGTTTAATTAGTTGTTCATTTTTACAAGTATGATTTATCTTTCTTAGTATTTTCAAATAACAATAGAGGATTACTACCAACGATATTGTTATTAATACAAATAATAAAATGGAAGTGGAGAATTTTCCGGATTTTCCTGCACACCTGCAAAGAATTTAAATCAATTGATCGTTATTAAGCTTTGTTAACGTACGTATTAACAACGTTCGAGTAATTTTCGCATGGAATAAATAAACTTACCAATATTTACGTGAACCATGGTTTCGTATGTTAACCAGTTGAAACATCACAGATATCAAGGATACGTTTGACCATAGTCGATAGTCGTATTTGCCAAAACGTAAGATTCTATCATAATTATGACAAATTCGGAGATATGTTGCCACGCTAGTTAAAAAAAAAAAATTTTAATTTTTTTTTCGGGTCACATTAAAATTTGAGAACAAAGAGATTATCATACAAAAACTTACGCCATAACAGAATATAAAGATAAGCTGATTGTAATAAGGGCCCAGATTACAAAGCTGATTAATTTGCATGCCGGGTCCTCAAATACACTTGCATACATAGAAGTATGTATCTAAGGGAATAAGAGGTGTGAAAATTTTGGAAAAAGTTGAAAACACACATTAACAATTTATACAATTCTTACGATATTTATCAAAAATAACCCATTTTCGATTAAGCCTAATTAATAAATGGAAAGAAGCGCACCAAATAATCAATACATAAGTTGAATCATGAAATTCAAACGTTTTAGTTACGCTTACCTGAGCAAGAAGTGTAAAATGGCAGTTTATGAGCCATCTTCAAGCTAGTTTTATCAAACTTCCATTGTTTGTATGTTCTGTAAATTACGGCCAAATTCCCCAGACAGCTTAATGTAAACATGATTATCAACACGTCGGTTACCATATAAAATTCATTACGATTATATGGACTATCCAAACTTGAAGAAGAATCACTTGAAGCATTTTGATATTGCTTCAACTCTTTAGGGAATAATATGGGCGACATGATGGTATATTAATTGGCGAGAATAGGAATAGGTTAGAATGAAACAATTCATGAAAATGAAGTTCATTATATAATAATTTTTTACGCGTTTTATAAATCCCAATGAAATATGACTAACAACGATTTTAAAATTTTATGTAACATTAACGTTAATATGATCTGATTTTTCCGATTATTCATTCTAAAAATAAAGTTTAATTTAAATTTCATATGGTGACATTAAGAAGTTGGCTTTGTTATTGACTTTCGTTTCACGAGATATGCAAGTATTATTGACTTAATGTTGTATGATTTGCATCCATATTCGTAACCAAAGAACGGTCAAATTCCTGTTAATCCGTTTCTTTATCTATAAAGCAATATTAAGCGCGTAATAAATTTAGCAACAAAGCTTATAAGTTTCTTTTTTTTTTAAAAAAAAAAATGATGTTTCATATTCAAAAAAAAAGGATTGAGGAAAGTAACTGAAAGAGAAAATGAGTTGAATGTTTGGTAGATAATTTATAACGGCGAAACTTAAATTATTATGTAACTACCTAAAATAATAAAAAAAAAAAATAAAATTCTCAATAAATTGTATTGATATGGAAAAGATAATTAAGGAACCCAGGATCGTCAAAATTTCTTATGGCTGATCGCTTCCAAATTAGAATTCATTTGATTAAATGATCATAAATTAAATTTTTTAATATAAATCTTGACACATACATGTATCACAACTTACATAACTTAATTCCAATTGAAAAAACGTTGTAATCATCGCTTTGTTTTAAGAAATTTATTCAAACATAGAAATGAATTTACATACTTTAAGTGATACGATGGGTTTATGATTTTCGGATTTAAAATTTCTTTGTTTCTTTTATTCCACAAAGTGATTTTATTTAATGAATTGCATCAGTATTCTTTCTTTCTAGTTTCTTTCAGCCTGCAGAAGAATTATGTTAGATTTTATGCATGGAAAGAAATTAAAAGATGCTGATTGGTTCGTTCATCTTTAGTTCATCAATTGCATGAAATTATTTGTTACTTGCATAGCGAACTATTTGGTTTTGTATGTTTTGGTTATCCAATTAATTAACTTCAATAATTTCAACAATTTCTTCCTTGAATTACTCCTAATCTTTTAACCGTATCTCACGAGGTTTTTTTTTTGTTAATTACGGAAACGGCCTGAATTTCTTCCTATCTAAAAAATTCCCCTCCCTTCGTGTTAATCAACTTAATCAACATTCATGCAGTATTAAATTTCAAATTAATATACAATGACCTTATAAAATTTGTGTATATATCTTTGTCTTTAAAAACCACCAAAAAAGGGATTTTATTATAAATAATTAGCCGAAGAAATTTTATTATAATTGCAACGTAAATTTTTTTTCTTTGGAAAACGAAAAGTGTCGCGTGGAAAAGTCAATTTTTATGAATATTATTTAAGAAAAATTAAGTCGTAAAAAAACATCAATATTAGTAAAATTTATTTTTTGAACCATATGTACTCAAGTTTTGATTTACATGAATTGAAATAGTAGCACAAACTATACTTGTGACATCACACGATTGGATTGATACTATTTTTGATACGGGCTAACTCTTTACTCTTTTAATTTATTTTCTTTACAGAATTTTTACAATAATTATTATACTGATTTCAATGATAGATATTCTTTATGCATTCTCTTCTTTCCCTGTGTAATATAATAAACTTTACAATAAAGCAATCGGTGATTATGAAAATAGTTTGCGTAAGTGCGTGAAATGTTCCTCACTTCTTTTGTCATTGTTTCATATCAATCATGCAGATGATATCATAATAAACAAGTCTTGTAATTTTCAGTGCATATTCGAATGAGGAGTTATATTAATCAAAATGTTTACCATAATTGATAGCAATTATGAATAATAGCGCAAACTTGATTGCTATATCCAGTCACTTTCTGATAATTCTTGCTGGAAATACTCTATATTTTTAATACCCATTCCTGAATAAAATTTTTACTGCCGTCTGAATATCCAGATGGTGCATTGGAATCGATTCAAAAAGCAAATCGATTTTAGAATTGACGAATCGCGATTAATCGTTGCCAGAAATTCTATTCTAAGATTCGATTTTCATTATGGAATATCGATTTTTTTTAGCCACAATTTAAACGCGAGGATTGTTACAAAAAAAAAAAAAAAAAAAAATATCATATTTAAATTTTTACATTTTATAATAAAAAAGATATCCACTCCAGCTTCATATTCTTCAAAAATCTAATGTTTTAAGATGAAGATTATTTATCCTTCATTGGTGTCGCAATTTAATAACTTCAATCATCACTAGATTTCTTATAGATTTTTTTTCTACATAACACGTGCATTTTAATTTGTTAATTTTTTTTTTGCTTTCGCTTCGGGCCGCAGCAATGGAATGATTTTTTCGATTAAGTTTCCCCTTTGCTTGGATATGGATGTATGCGGTATAGTGTTATTTTGATTATTTAGATTCTTTTGAATTTTTGAATTTTTGAATTTTTGAATTTTTTTCGGGTTGCCAGCGAACAAATATTTATTTTTAATTTATCATTCTAACTTTTCTTTAAATTGGATCACTTTGGTAGGAATAGTTTTTTTTTTTTTAAAAAAAAAAATCACTTCGTGCATTGTACAAAATTTTTTCTGATTTTATGTTAATTTTGTGTTCTAAATATGGTTTACCTTTTTCATTTTCTTATAAGTTCCTTCAGTTTTGTAGGTTAGGTTTTTTTGTCAAATGTTTTTTGTGATCCCATTATTAAGTAATGATGCGACATATCCAACCTACTGCGCCACTTTGATTAATTATCCCCTACAGCTAGGTTTCTTTAGAATAGCGTTATAATTATTGAGGTCATAAACAACGGATAGAAACAGTATCTTAGTACGGTTGCAGCTATAAGATCGTGTTCGGAAGAGATAGAGTACGCCCAAACTAGTTTATGGATAAATTGATTGCATAACCTTGTTACCTTAGCGTCGAACTCAATATGAATTTCCAAAATGAACTTTATAAATAAAGTTTGTGGGTCAAATCAAAAGGGTGTCCAGGATGGGTTGGCGTGATGGTTCAAAATTCGCGCGTGATTTTATCGCAAAAATCGCGATTATAATTCCGGTTGAAATCAACATAATTTCAGAGTAAAAACCCGTGGATCAAAATTTTGATCATGTGGTCGACTAAATCACCCAATCAAATTTGACCAAAATCGTGATAAAATCGTGACCAACAAATCCTGGACGCCCTAATTATCAAATGGTCTCTTTACGTTTTCATGGATATATCAATTGCTAGTTATTTATGAGGATATCGAAAGCTAAGTCAATATTTCTTATAAAATTAGTTTTCCTGTTAAGATTTTCTTCAATGCTGCTTTATACCCAAATTTCTCAGATATCTAATTTATTGCACATTTATCTCCATTACTCGGATTTTTAATTCTCTTCTTTATAGACAGTTAGTTTTCTCTAAATGTAAGTACCGGTACCTTCCTTTCATTTATATGAGTTGATTTCAAATATAGATCCTGACTTCTAAAAAATCATATACTGCAAACACTAAGTACTTGCTTCGTCATTGTCATAAACCAAGTATAGAAGTAAAAATATGCCACGAATTTCCAAGAGTCGCTTCAGTTTTAATATCTATTATAGCATATAACAATGTTTAGTGAAGAGCAACAATTAAGAAAAACATATAAATATATTTTCTTGTGTTCAGAAAACTAACTGCAACAATTTGGGTATCAACGAAAAAAATATTTTGTTCTGTAAAGCTTCTGATTCGTCAATCATGTCACAATCACATGACAGAGTAAAATTATGTTACTTAATATATATTAAGTTCGAATTAGATTTTACTACTTAAAATATGTCAATATGAATTATGAAAAAATTGGCATACAAAAGAAATTGGAGGTTTTTTAAACGAAAAAATATTGAGCTTTATTTACATTTTAAAATAGATATTTATTTATCACCAGATAGGGGTTAGGATTAAAAATTAGGTTAGGGTTGGGAATTAGGATTAGGGTTAGAGGGAGATTTTTTTTAATAAAATAAAATCATGTGTTATTATAATATCACATGATCAAGTGATGTTTAACCACCCGTTATAGTTAAAATATTCAAATTTCGTTAAATTACTGCGGCATTTAAAACAAAAAGACGAATCCGGATTTTTACGGATGAACGAATAATCTGTGAGGATATTCGGATGTAAAAGCTTACCCGTATCCGTTTCTTTGTTCGCGGATCAGATAAACATGGATAGACGGATAAGCGGATCTAATCACTATACATAGTTCGACTAAAAATTAACGAAGTTATATGGCATTGAATTTTTTTTCAAATTCTCTGTTAAAACTATACGCTACCACTTACATTAAAAAATCTGGTTGAAAATTATTATCGTTATGAATGTAGGCAGCCAAATCTAACGTGTAAATAATTTTCCTTGGCTTGGCGAAAAATTAAATGGGCAATCTTTTATTGTGTACGACTACATGACAAATTGTAACACGTTGCATTGTCAAATTAAATTCAAGAAAAATTATTAAAGTTTGCAACAATTTATTATAAAAAGAAATGGCAATGGCATAAAGAATTTCTCGTCAAAATCAATTTTATCTGATTATGGAAGGAAATTCAAGCCAGGTGAAGAAAAAAAAATATATAATAGTCATCCTGAATATTTTTGTAAAAAAGTGAAAAATTAATGATTCTATTTTAAACATTTAGTTTTTGAGAGACAAAAAGGAAAATGGATCGAATAATTTAAAAAATAATGTAAATCGAATCTTAATTAAATTAGAGGAAGATGGATTCGTTACACCAGATGAAAAGGTTAAAGAGCTTATCAAGGAGGTGAACGAACCAAAACGTTTACTTGCTTTAAAGTTACTTTTTGAAGATTTGCAAAGTGAATTTTCATCCAAAGTGTTAATCAATTCATTATTTGCATTAGCCGATCCTACCCCTTTTAATCTTTATTATTCAAAAGAAAGTGTCTCAGTGTTGGAATTGCATTTACGTACTTGGATAGTAGTTTTAGAAAGGATTTGTTTTTCACCAATAAGACTTACTAAAGAACTTCGGGATAAAGTTTATAATTCTTTGGCGAAATTTGCAGAAATTCATCGAAAAACAACGCAAGTGATGGAAGAAGGACTTGAGAATAACTTTAGGTATAATTTTAATCAACAAATCGATGATAAGGATGATGAAAAAATTATCAAAAAGCGAAATTATAATATAGATTTTTTGCTAATACACTTGCGTGATACGCTACATAGCCTTCGTGATGATGAACATTGGCTTCAAGAAATTATGCGAAGAATGAAAGATATACTTAAAGCTTTCCTTAATATTACTCCAGGTGTCTTGTCGATTGTGGCACCTGAAGCTATTATTCCAATCGACAATTGCGCGATCTGGTCAATACTTGCACAATTACGTCTAGGCCTGAGTTTCAAATATGTAGCATCTTATTATGTGGATTGGAGAATTATGTTAATTATTCGCCATAATATTGTTGAGTGGGCCGAAGATTCTAAAAAGATAATTAGTAAAAAACATGCTGAAATGATCCTAATGGAATATCTTTGGAGCTTCTTGGAAAGAGAATGGAATCATGTTGCTGATAAGGCTATTTTGGAATCTCAATCGAAATTCGATGAAGTATCAAATAAAGTTTCAAAGACTTTAAGAAATACCAGGAGTCTTTTAAGCGATCTTGCTGGAAATGAACCTATCGCATTACCACACACTTTATGGTTTGGAATATTGGATCTTGCACATGACCTTATCAAAACTTCTTCTCGCACGGCCACGCATGGCCTTTGTTACTATTTGGCAAGCGAATCACTTAAGAGAGCACCAAGCAGTTTCATTCAATTTAAAACAATCGAAATATTGTTATACCTAAATAGCATTAATAATAAATTATTCTCAATCATAGAACTTGATTTTCATCAATATACAAATAGATTAAAGGAGAATAATTTTTTAAAAAGTTCTTCAGAAAAATTCCAAAATATACTGGTATTTGCAAAAGAAAAACACCTTGAAGATCTTAAGTTAAATGATGATGATGATGAAACTAAAGGAAAAGGAAAAGGAAAATGCTCGGTCAAAAATACATTAGTTGATCATGAGCATCTATCGAAATCTTATCATATATTAGATCTTATCGCAAATGAAATAACTTGTCCAATCAGCCGTGAACCAACTAATCAATTATGTATTTTAAAATGTCAACATGAGATATCATTAAATAGTTTAAAAAAATTAAAACAAACAACATGTCCTCAATGTCGAGAGAAAATTGAGGATAATGAGATCAGATATGTATCACAAAATACTATTTATAAAAATTTATATTCACAATTCCTTGAAGCTGGGCATCTTGTACCATTATACGAATTAGAAAGTTCGGATCAAATTAAGGGAAATCAATACGATAGTGATTCAGACGATATATCGGAAATTGATCTTATTTTAACCAAAAAGAATGAACTTAATAAGACTTTGAAATTAAAATCAAGTATATCATTACAATCAATATTTCAAATCAAAAGTTCAAAAAAGCAACACCCAATATATAAGAATGTTGTGAGCAAATTGTCGGAAAAAAACTATGATCAAGCCATATTTTGGTGTCAAAAATTTCTGGAAAAATTTCCCAAAAGTTATTCTATGAGATGTATCTTAGCATATACTTATAGGTTTATTAACAATTATAAACAAGCACACTTATATCTCAATGAGGCCATTAGGTTAAAACCGAAAAAACAAATTGCACTATATATTCGTGGAGAAATATATTTTAGGCAAAAAAGATATGAGGAGGCAATAGAATGTCTTAAAAATGAGGATTCGAAGAATTTAAATTTAATAGTTGGTTTTAGTTACCTTATTTGTGGAGGATATCATTATTGGTACGCTGCTCTGCGTATATTTAATTCTGTACTAAAAAATGATCCAAAGAATTATTTATGCCTCAAGTATTGTGTTTATGCTAATGAAAAACAAGGACATTATTTAAATGCTTTAACAATATTAGATATATTGCTAAGTATTAATAAGGACGACTCATTGATTTTGTGCTATTACGGTGAAGTTTTATCAAATTTAGAAAGATATAATGAAGCAATATCATATTTTACAAAAGCTAATTTCATTGATCCAGAAAATGTTTATAATTTATGCAAAAGAGCTATCACATATTATTTACTTGAAATGACGAACGAAGCTTTACTAGATCTTAATAAAGCTTTGCAACTAAATTCATCTTATGATTTAGCATATTATTATAGAGGACTGACTTTTTATACGATAAGAGACTTTAGCAATTCAATTTTAGATTTTGAAAAATGCGTACAATTAAATCCCAGCGATAATGTGGCAAAAGCACAATTATATTATTTAGAATATCTGCTAGCTAAGAAGAATAATAAAGTTATAGACCGTTTTATTATCGCAAAAATTAATCAAATTCCTAATATTGATATGGATATATCTTCAATTTTTATAAGATGCAAAATATATATTGAATTAGAACAATATGATATGGCATTAATTGACTTTAATATATTGTTTGAATATAACAGATGCAATATTTCGTATACTTACTTATTACAAAAATATTCCAATTTTTGGAAATATTTATATAATCATCATAAAATTAACGATAATGAATTCGTGGATTTTGGAATTGTTGAAAAATTTGATATATTTATGTATAAGGGTACGAAAAATTTTAAATGTTATTTAATCAAAGTTATATCATTAACGTTAATAATATTCTTTTTTTTTTGTTTTTAAAAAAAAATAAAAGAAAAAAGGATTTATTTTTTCTCCAATCTTTTTCATCTTCATAGCGAATATTCTTTTATTCAAGAGGACTTTACTAGGTAATTTTTTTTTTGGATATACATACATGTATGCATATAATAATCAAGTTTAGTTAATAATATTATTATATAAATAATATAAAGCTTTTCAAGAAAGGTATTAGAAATTAATAATGGATTACAGCTTATAATTTTGCCTAAATTACCGCATATTTGGATAGCCGATGGATTTTATATTATATGGAAAATATGCATTAATAATATATCATCCAAAGATTGTTCCCTGAATTTTATTATAAAAACAGAAAAAGTAAGTTTAATCACTTTAGAAACGTTAAATATTATTTTATATACTAAAAAATTTAATTTACAATAAAATAGGATATTACTCCATATGAAAATACTTTGCAATATAAAGATTTATTAAAACTTAGTGAATTGGGTTGGATTGAATATGTGTTACCACAGTATATAAGCACACTAGAGTGTGAATGGATACAACCTTCAATTGAAATAAAAAATGGTTTTATTAATATGGTAAGTTTTGATTTAATTTTCTTCAAAAAAAATTAAACATTAAAATTAATAAAATGATATCTATTATTCTTCTTTAAAGAAAATAGATTATATTCGATTTTCATTTATAAAAACGTCTCAATTACATTTTAAAATGGGAAAATTTATATCATATTATAAATTACATTCAAATATTCCAGAAGCATTTGAAGATAAATACTTTCAAAAAAAAGAACTTGAAAATTTACTTGAACTGGAAGAAATTCTTAACCATTTATAACAGAATAATACTTGGTTAATAACTTTCTCTTTCTTAATAACTTTTAGATTCATACTTAAAAAAAAAGAAAAAAATATAATATTTAGAAATTGATAATATTAAAATATCCTTAATATAATTAAATCTGATTTTACGTTTACCTTATAATATTAGTAAATTAATTTTTAAGTAAATAATAATTCAAAATTTATCATAATGTAATTATCTATTATTTTAAAAAAATTATTAAAAAGTAAATCATAAACTTTAAAATTTTAATATTATATAATTATAAAATAAGAAATTTAATTTGCAAATATAATTCAAAATAAGTAAACTTATTAAAATATTTTATCAGAAAAAATAATATTTTTAATCAATTATAAATTATATAAAATATGTACTATTTTATCAATTGTATATTATTTATTAAAAATTAATTGTATTAAAATATAATATTTAAAAGAATAATTCCGTAGTTTACTAAAAATAAATATTATTATTTGCATAAATTGATTAATAAATAAATTTTGTTTTTTATTATTACTATATAATTATTTTGATTAAATTTATTATACTAATTATAAAAATATTAAAAAATAAGTTAATTATAATTATTAGTAAATTTAAATATCTTATAAACGAAATTTTAATTTTAAATCATAAATTTTTTTTATAATTAATAAATATAATAATAATTTAAATATACTAAAAAAGAAATTTGATTAATATTATTAAAGAATTTAATTGGAACTTATTACTTATTATAATTAGTTAATTATCTAATAAATTAATATATTATATTAGATATTTAATATAAAGTTGTAATTTAGTTTTTATATCAGATTAATGATACTACCTAAATACCAAAAATAATATTTGAAAAAAAGTTAAGTTATATAATGAAACCTATAATAAAATTGTTAAAACTTAATAAAATTATAATATAAAATTGGAAAAACTACTTAAACAATAAAAAATAGTTTTAATAAGTATTATTATATCAAATATTATTATATAATTGATTAAAATATTTATATAAATAATTTTAAATATAATTTCATATAATTATTAATATATAAATTATAATTTAATAATGTTACATATTTTATTAAAAAAATATTAATATTTTAAAAAATCTTATATGAAAATAAAAATTAAAAATTGATAAATTCTAAAAAATAAATTTAAAAAATTAATATAAAGCTTAATTATTTATTAATATAAATAAAAAATAAATATTTTAAATACTATTTTTTTAAAAAAAAAAAGATTATAAAATATATTAAATATTCTTTTAACTCTACTTTATTTTTAGTTTATAATTTTAATTATAATATAAGTATTGTATTATTATTATTATATTTTGTTTATATAGTATATAAAGAAAAATAGCAATTATTATATAAAATTATTTTAATAAAAATTTAAAGAAAATTTATTTATTATAAAATCAATATAGTAATACATAAATACTTATTAACTTAATTAATTAGTATTTATTAATAATTAATTTATAAATTTTTTTATAATAATTTTAAAATACAACATATCTTAATTTTAAATTGTAAATTTAGATTATTTATATATTTTTAAAAATATATTAAAAATATTAGATATTTATATAAAAAGTTATTATAAATAAAATAAAAATATTTTTAAGAATAATTAAAAATTCCAAATATATGATTAAAGAATTTCTAAATAATAAAATATATTTAATATATTTAAATTTTTAATAATAAAAATAAAATTAATTTAATTATTTTTATTATAAATAGAATATGTTCTTTATAAATTTATAAATTTAATATAATCCAAAATATTAAATATTAAGAAAAATAATGAAATTTATAATTATAAAGTTTCAATATAATTTAATAATTTATTGATTTATTCAATGATTAGTAATTTAAATTATATCAAATTTTAATATCTTTTATACTTTATTTTAATATTGTTAATAATTAAGATTGCTTGTTTAAATTTATTTTAAATTTGCTAAAAGTTTAAACCTTTAGTTTTGCTAATTTTTACTAAGATTTAGATATAATTTTATCATTTTTATAAGCTTTAATACAGTTTTATCTTTTTCATAAATTTTTAATAAGATTTAATATAATTTAACCAAGTTTTACCTTTAATCTTAAAGCTAAAAGGTTATAAACTTTCTTTATTTATATAATAACTTTTTACTACTAGTTACTAAAGCTAAAAATAACTCTAATTTATTTTCTACAGTATGAATATCTTTTGAAAATACTGAATTATGATGCTTTTTGTATATCTATTAAAAAAAATATATATGCTTATGACTTTGTTATCCTACTTATTAAAATTTTTTCTACCCTTACATTTTTAGCAAATCATAAATAATTAATATATCTAATTGCTTAAAATAATCTAAAAATAATAAAATTCATTTTTCAATGATTTTTGACTTTTTTTATCTTAACAAAAAAGTATATAAAACTTAAATATAATATAATAAATGCAGAAATTATTGCTAAGCCATTTTATTTAATGATTTTCATATGATCTATATCATGTGATATACATATTATGTATAACTTAAGATCTTTTACCTTCTAAGATATTAGGTAATATTATCAGTATTATAACTTAGTAATATATCATTCAAGCTTAATAATATATAATAAAATATAATTTTAATTATCAATAAATTTAATGTATATAATAAAATATAAGAATATATATTAAATTAATTATTTTATATTGTTTTAAAAAAAAAATATGTAAATTAATTTTAAAAAATTATGATAATAAAAATAAATAATAAAATTTGGTTTAATATGGGTAATGTGTTATTAAAATTGAGGTACAGATCATATGATTTACTATATCTTGTATCTCAATTTTAATAGAATACTACCCATATAAGGATTTTATTAATAAAATTTATTATTTATATTTAATAAATTATAGCAAATTTTATTATTAACATTTTTTTCTTAATATATCATATATATAATATTATATAAGCTATTATAATATTAATTATATTATAATCAATAAAATAATTAAACATTAAAAAATGAATTAATTAAAGAATTTATAAAATTAATATTATAATATTTAAAAAGAAACTTTACAATTTTTTGATAATATTTATAATATTTGATAGGGTCTGATTCATTTCACTGACAAATGTTTCACTGATTATTATTTTACCAATAAACGTTTTATAGACAAGTTCATTTCACCAACAACCATTTTTTATCGACAGTTATTTTCCTGACATGATCATTTTGCCAACATGTTTATTTTACCAACAATCATTTTACTGATGATTATTTTACCGACGATTATTTCAAAAAAAAAATTTCAAAATTAAAAACTTTCAGTAAATACCATATTTTATATTTTTCAATGATCATTCATTTCTGATTTTATTTTATTTATTAATTACCCATAAACTTACAACTAAAGTATATAAAATGATTGGACTTTATTACAAATTATTTAAAACTATTAAAAATGAAAGATTGTGAGCAATTCCTCGTTGTTACGTCCGATTTGTAACTCAAATAAAATTCTCAAAATTAATAATGCTAAGACTAAACTCAGGGAATCACAACGAAGATTCTTAGTAAACGTC